GATCTATCTAATATTGATGTTGAAGTCTCCCACTATTATTGTGTGGGAGTCTAAGTCTCTTTATAAGTCTTATGTATCTGGGTGTTCCTGAATTGGGTGCGTATATATTTAGGATCATTCACTCTTCTTGTTGCATTGATCCCTTTACCATTATGTAATGACCTTCTTTGCCTCTTTTGATCTTTGTTGTAGATAAAATCTATTTTATCAGAGGCGAGAATTGCAACTCCTGCTTTTTATTTATTTGTTTATTTTTGCTCTCCATTTGGTTGGTAAATCTGCATCCCTTTGTTTTGAGTCTGTGTATCCTTGCATGTGAGATGGGTCTGGATGCAGCATACTGATGGGTTTTGGCTGTGTCTTTTGATTGGGGGATTTAGTCGATTTAACTTTAGGATTACTGTCATTTGATGTTAGCTGGCTGTTGTGCCCATTAGTTGGTGTAAATTCTTCATTATGTGGATGCTCTTTACTTTTTGGTATATTTTTGGAAAGGCTGATACTGGTTATTCCTGTCTATGTGTAATGCTTCTTTCAGAAGCTCTTGTAAAGCAGGCCTGGTGGTGATGAAATCTCTGAGTACTTGCTTGTTCACAAAAGATTTTATTTTTCCTTCACTTATGAAGCTTAGTTTGGCTGGATATGAAATTCTGGGTTGAAAGTTCTTTTCTTTAAGGATGTTGAATATTGGCCCCCACTCTTTTCTGGCTTGTAGGGTTTCTGCTGAGAGATCTGCTGTGAGTCTGATGGGCTTCCCTTTGTGGGTAACCCGACGTTTCTCTCTTGCTGCCCTTAGTATTTTCTCCTTCATTTCAACCCCGGTGAATCTAACAATTATGTGCCTTGGGGTTGCTCTTCTTGAGGAATATCTTTGTGGTGTTCTCTGTATTTCCTGGAGTTGAATATTGTCCTGCCTTACTAGGTTGGGAAGGTTTTCCTGAATAATATCCTGAAGAGTATTTTCCAGCTTGGAATCATTCTCTTCGTCGCATTCAGGTACACCTATCAAACGTAGATTAAGAACCCATTTGAATAATCCAGGATCATTTCTCCATGTTAAGATACTTAATCAAAATTGGAAAGAACCCTTTTCCTTATAAGGTAACATTTAAGGCTCTAGAAATTAGAACCTGTGATCTGAGAAACCAAAATAGACACCGCTTTATCAACTAAGTCAGACACTAAGGTTAAAGAAACAAAAGGTACGTAGGGGTGGATGATTCAGGCCCAGCTGGCATAGCAAATATCTAAATTCCTGTGGCTGCAAGGAAAACCATTGCCTTGCAAAAGGAGCTGTCAGGCAAGTGATCAGATCTGGCCTAACTTGGTGTTACACCCCAGACCACTACAACTCAGTTGGAAGAGGACCAGCCTCACAAACGTTCTTTTCTGATAAACACCTGCAGACCTGAAGCCAGCTTCAGCAGCTTATAGAAGCTGTGCAGAAACTTTGTGTCCCATAGTTTACCTTCTAACTTGAGCTAAATACCACCTAATTTTAATGCTAAAACGTTGCCCAAAAGTGAGCATGGGATGCACATTGTAGATGTGGTTACCCACTGCACATGTGCTCCACCCACCTCATAAACACGCATAGCTTTCCCCCCAAACCTGCTGAATATGTATACTTTGTTGGTGTAATACGGACCTTGTTAGGCATAAAACCCAAGACCCCCTCTTCTCCTCTGAAGAGAGCACCTTCAGTCCAACCTGGAGATGATCTCTTCCCGGTTTGCAAACTGATGCTGCCAATACAGCTCTCCTTCCTACTAGTTAGCCATTCTGATGGCCTTCTGGACAACAGACCTAGTATCTTCGGGCAGGCCATTACTTGGCCTCTCAGAGTCCTCCCTTGGGTCTCCAAAGATTCATGTCTGTTCCACATGCAAACTGTATCTACCCCATTCCAATGTCCCCAAAGTCTCAGCCCACTATAATCAATTCATGTCCAAAATCTCATCTAAATCTCATTAACTCAGAAGTTACAAATCATAGCATCTAATGCAGATAGTGGTTAGACTCTGGATCTGATCCATCCTGGGAAAAAGTTCCTTTCCATTGCTGGACCTGTGAAACTAGAAAATGGCTTGTTTATTCCAAATGTGATGTCAGGCCAGGTGGGGTTTAACAGTATAATAGGGATAGACACTCATATTCCAAAAGGGAACAATGAAAGGAAGAAAAGAGTCACAAGTCTCACCCAATGAAGAACTCCAGGCCAGGCTTGGTGGCTCACGCCTGTAATCCCAGCACTTTGGGAGGCTGAGGCAGGTGGATCATGAGGTCAGGAGTTTGAGACCAGCCTGACCATCATGGTGAGACCCCATCTCTACCAAAAATACAAAATTAGCCAGGTGTGGTTGGCGCGTCCCTGTAATCCCAACTACTCAGGAGGCTGAGGTAGGAGAATCACTTGAACTCGGGAGGCAGAGGTTGCAGTGAGCTGAGATTGTGCCATTGCACTCCAGAGCCTGAGTGACAAAGTGAGACTCCATCTCAAAAAAAAAAAAAAAAAATTACTCCAGCAGGGCAGATTCCATTAGGGTTCAGGGCTGGGGATAACCTCTGTGGCTTTGGCCCCCACCCTATGGGCTTATGGCTCCTATATGAGAAATTGGGACCTAACACTTTGTGTGGCAATTATTCAGTCTAGGTTTGTGCAAGAGTTATTAAACATAATGGCAAAAACCCCAATAACTTTTGCACCAACCTAATACTATCCAAGTTTAGGCTGTTTTATTGTATCAAGTGTATCATTTGTTTATTTTTATAGAGACAGGTCTTGCTGTGTTACCCTGACTGGTCTTGAACTCCTGGCCTTAAGTGATGCTCTTGCCTCGGCCTCCTGAGTCACTGGGATGCCAGGCATGAGAGGCACCCCACCCAGCCTTGGAGTGTTTCTTTTTTTTTTACTAACAGTATAACACTTTCAGCACCCTTTATCTCAGTGATCCACAAGGCAAGTCTGACTGATAGGCATTGCTCAGGCCATCTGGCCCTCATGAAACTAAATTTTCTGGCCCTTTCTTTCTTTCTGGCCTGCAGGTTGGCTCTGCCTGATGCCTGATGTGGGTGGGATTATGAACAGAGGCAGAGCTGATTTGAACTGGACCCACCATCTCTGGGCAGCCCTCCACAAGCCGTTACATTCTCTGGGCACATTGTAGCCACTCCAGCCTCTCTCCTAGCCCCTCTCCCCGAATGCTTGGGAGCAGGATGAGGGATGGAAGGCTTCTGTCTTGAAGCTGCTTACCTATTTGCTCACAGCACCTGCCAGCCCACTGAATATGAACAACTCTATGGTCCATTCTCAGAGTCTAACCCATATCTGAATTAGATGCTGTGGGAAGTAGAAAAGTTCCTTTAAAGTTTTTCTTTTTATTATTGCATTTTAGGTTTTGGGGTACATGTGAAAAACATGCAAGATAGTTGCATAGGTACATACATGGCAGTGTACATACATGCCTTCCTTCCCATCACCTGTATCTGGCATTTCTCCCCATGCTCTCTGTCCCCAACTCTGTACCCCCCACTGTCCCTCCCCTATTTCCCCCAACAGACCCCAGTGTGTGATGCTCCCCTCCCTGTGTCCATGTGTTCTCATTGTTCAACACCAACCTATGAGTGAGAACATGTGGTGTTTGATTTTCTGTTCTTGTGTCAGTTTGCTGAGAATGGTTTCCAGGTTCATCCATGTCCCTACAAAGGACATGAACTCATCATTTTTTATGGCTGCATAGTATTCCATGGTGTATATGTGCCACATTTTCCCTGTCCAGTCTATCATCACTGGGCATTTGGGTTGGTTCCAGGTCTTTGCTCTTGTAAACAGTGCTGCAATGAACATTCGTGTGCATGTGTCCTTATAGTTAAAAGTTTCTTTTCTTGTTAAAGAGTAAGTGTGCTAGTAACTCTTTGTTAAGCCCTATCCTATGTAGCTGTTAAACATGCCATGCTTACAGGCACGTAGTACATTCTATGTCTTTGTACTTTAACCAAGATATCTGTGCTGGACATGCTCACAGGCATGTCCCAGCTCTCCATTGCTTGTACCTGTTTGGAAAAATTTTAAGTTATTAGCCAATCAGGTTTTAGTTTAGATTGTGAAGTCTGGCTCCAGCCAATGGAGCTCAGGCACAGCAGTAAGGATGACCCCAAATGCATAAGGGATAAATTTGTGTGTTTTCCTTTGTTCACTGTACTCTCATGGCACAATGGCTAGTGAGGGTACCCTTCCTGCAGCCCAGGAAGTAAAAATTGCATTGCTGAAAGCTCCTTTGTCTCAGCACTGATTTCTCTCTGTGGCACCGAGCATCTATTTTTCCAACAGATGTTATGATTTATAACTTCTGAGTTAATGAGATTTAGATGACATTTTGGATGTGAGTTGATTGTAGTGGGTTGAAATGAGGTAAATATATTTGCATGTGGAACAGACATGAATCTTGGAGACCCAAGGTAGGACTCTGGTAGGCCGAATAATGGCCTGCTCAAAGATAGCAGGTGTGTTGTCCAAAAGAGCAAAAGCCCTCTCCAAAGAGCGGCTTTCCCCTGGGGAGACAGCACAGATTCCACGTGAATGACGTCCTGTCCGCTGCCTCCTGAATGCTCCTCACCATGAAGTCTTTCCACAAATGACTGTTGGAAAGACCCAGACTTTGGAGAGGCCGGCGTAGTCCTTGCAGGACAGAGGCAGGTTGACATGGGCCTCCTGGTGTGAAAGTCCCTGGGATCTGTCTCCTTCCGCAGTGACAGCACCACAGCAAATCCAGCGTCCTCAGGTCGAGATGGGGCTGGCACTCATTCTCAGGCTCAGCTTTTTGTTTCTGTCCCGCTGCGTTCAGCTGCTCACTGACACCCGCCTGCTGGTTCCCCCTGTTAACTGACTCCTCCGCCTCAAAACTCACCTCTCCTGGGTCCTCAGAGCCTCCTAGCCTGGAAGCCAGTGTGCACTTGGTTTAATCCTGTGGACAGTGAGCATCTGTGTGTTTTCCTAACAGGAAGATGCCTTCATACAAAGGTCTCAGGGAAAAGCATCGACACGCCTATTGGAGGGGCTCTTCATGTCCAGGATGGCAGCAGGACCCAACCGAAGAGCCCGGCCAGGCATCAGGAGCACAGGTGCCTTCCACTAACTAGAGTGTGCTGCCTGCTCCACACATAGACACAGGTGCGTCTGGTTTTCTGGGTCTCTGCCGTCTCTTGCTGTCTGTGAGGCCATCATAGGATTCTCAGGGCAGCATGGGGTTAGTTAGTAGTGTGAGTCAAGTTAATGAACCTTCATAATCAAGTTAATGAACTGTGGTTCTCCCCTCTGGGAGACACATTTTAGCAGGAGCCACCATGGGACAAGTGATTTTAATGATAACACCACAGGCGGCGTGCCAGCAGGACAGGTGTGGATATGCGGAGAGGGGCCTTTTCAAAATCTCTCCATTTCATTGCCCAGGCAACAGCTCTTGGAAAGAGCTGGCTTTGGACCCAGGCTGCTGACATGCAGGCTGTGTCCCTGCGCCTTCCCATCTGCTCCTTGATCTAACATCTCTCCCACGGACACCTCAGAGAGGCCCTCCCTGCAACAATGCACCCCGGAGACGCCCACATGACTTGGATTTGCTGCCTCTGGGGCTAACTTAACTAAAATTAAAAATTCAAAAAAAACCATGTTTGGGAAGAAAACATCTGAGTTTTTAGAGCAAGAGAAGGAGAGAGGAGAAGAAAGAGAGACAGGTTGAGAGGGAGAGGGAGAGGGAAAAAGAAGGGAAAGAGAGAGGCAGGCTGAGAGATGGAGGGAGAGAGAAAGTGAGAGAGAGGAAGTGGGAAAGAGAGAAAGAGAGAGGAGGGAAAGAGGAAGGTAGGTTGAGAGAGAGAGGGAGGGAGGGAGGAAGACAAGTGGAACGGGTGAGTGCTTCGAGAGTCAGTTAATGACATTCAGTCAGGTATGTGACCTAAGCTGCCAGCTTGAGCTGCTCTTTTCCCAAAGCAGCCATTGTGAAAAGGGACTTTTGATATATGAGAGTGCCCATCACTCTGATAGTTGTGCCCTGATCCCCTCACTGGGATGCAGCATCCTTCTCAGGAGCCCTGCTGTCCCTGGCAGCAGGAAGAGGACCTGGTGGACATTTCCTGATTCTACTCATACGACGTGGTTAGAGCATCAGGAACCTGTTTCATCCCCTTCCTCGCCTGCTTGGAGCATCCAAGGGTACAGGAATAGAGGACCAGAGGCCATGCCATCACTCAAATCCAAGGAACAGTGTGAGCAGCCCAGGCGGGGAGCAGCCCCCCAAGGTGAGGGGCAGAAAACAGACACCCTAGAGGAGGACCTGGCACTCCCTCCCTCACTGCTCATCCCCATCACTATACCCCCATCACCGTACCTCCATCACCCTTTCCCCATCACCCCTTCCCCACCACCACTTCCCCATTACCCCTCCCCCACCACTCCTCTCCACCACCACCAATCACCCCTTCCCCCATGACTCCTCCCCCATCACCCCTTCCCCCATCACCCTTCTCCCTACCACCTCCCCCACCACCCAATTCCCATCACCTCTTAACCCACCACCCCTCCCTCATCACCCATTCAGCTACCACCCCTCCCCCAGCACCCCTTACCCATCACCCCTTGTCCACCACCCATCCCCTGGCATCTCTTCACCCAGCACCCATCCAACACCCCTCCCCCATCACACATTCCCCTACGACCCATTCCTATCACCACTCCCCCATCACGGCACCCCCATCATCAGTCCCCCATCACCCCCTCTGCTGTCACTGCTCTTCCATCACCACTTACCCATCACTCCTTTTCCCATCACCACTTCCCCATCACCTCTTCTCCCATCATCACTCACCAGTCACCACTCTCCCATCACCTTCTCCCATCACCACTCCCCCAGCACTGCTTCCCCCATCACCACTCCCTGATCACCCCTCCTGTATAACCCCTTCTCCTAACAGTACTCCCCCATCACCGCTTCCCCCGTCACCACTCCATCACCCATTTTCCCATCACCCATTCTCTCATCGCCACTCCATCACCCCTTTTCCCATCACCCCGTCACCACTCCCCAATCACCACTCCAACCCACTCCCCCATTGCCCCTTCTCCCATCACTACTTCCCCCATCACCACTCCCCAATCTCCCATTCTCCCATCACCACTCACCTGTCAACACTCCCCCAGCACTGCTTCCCCCATCACCACTCCCCCAACACCACTCACCCAACACCCCTTCTCCCATCACCCCTTCTCCCATAACCACTCCCTCCATCACCACTCCCCCATCACCCCTTCCCCATCACCCCTTCTCCCGTCACCACTCCCCCATCACCCCTTCACCATCACCCCATCTCCCATCACCACTCCTCTACCCCCCCTTCCCCCATCGCCACTGCCCCATCACCCCTTACCCCATCACCATTCCCCCAACTCACCACTCCCCCATCACTGCTCTACCCATGAATGCTCCCCCATCAAAGCTCCCTCCGTCAACGCTTCCCCCACTTAACTGCTCCTTGCCATCACTGCACCTCTATCACCCTTTCCCCATCACCCCTTCCCCAGCACCCTTTCCCCTACGACTCCTCCCCCATCACCCATCCCCAACCACCTCCCCCACCAGCTCACCCCCACCACCCAATTCCCATCACCTCTTAACCCACCACCCCTCCCCTAGCACCCCTCCCTCATCACCCATTCAGCTACCACCCCTCCCCCAGCACCCCTTGCCCAACACCGATCCCACACCCCTCCCCATCACACATTCCCCTACTACCCATTCCCAGTCACCCATTCCCCATCACCCCTCCACTGCTTCCCCATAACCCCTATTCCCATCACCCCACCCCATCACTGCTCCCCCATCACCACTTCTTCAAACACGGCACCCCCATCATCACTACCACATCATGCCCTCTGCTATCACTGCTCTTCCATCACCACTTTGCCATCACCCCTTCTCCATCACCATTCCCCCAATACCCTTTCTCCCATCACCACTCCCCGATCATCCCTTCTCCCATCACCAATTCCCCCATCACCACTCACCCATTACCACACCCCCATCACCACTTCCGAATAACCCTTTCTCCTGTCACCACTCCCCCATTACCACTCCCCCATCACCCCTTCGCCCATCACCACTCCCCCATCGCCCCTTCTCCCATCATGACTCCCTCATCACCACTCCCCAATCACCACTCCCCCATCACCCCTTCGCCCATCCCCACTCCCCCATCACCCCTTCCCCCATCTCAATCCCTCATAACCACTTCCCCATCCCCACTCCCCCATCACCTCTTCCCCCATCTCAATCCCTCATAACCACTTCCCCATCACCACTCCCCATCGCCCCTTCCCCCATCTCAACTCCCTCATCACCACTCCCCATCGCCCCTTCTCCCATCACATTCCCCCATAGCCACTCACCACTCCCCCATTGTCACTCCATCTCCCCTTCCACCATCACCCCTTCTACCATTGACATTCCCCCATCACCACTCACCTGCCACCACTCCCCCATCACTCGTTCTCTCATCACCACTCCTCCCATCGCCACTCCCCAATCTCCCATCTCGCCTTCCCCATCACCCCTTCTCCCATCTCCACTCACCTGTCACCACTCCCCCATCACCCCTCCCCCGTCACCCCTTCTCCCATCACTGCTTCCCCCATCACCACTCCCCGATCACCCCTTCTCCCATCTCCACTCACCTGTCATCACTCCCCCATCACCCCTCCCCATCACCCCTTCTCCCATCACCGCTTCCCCCATCACCACTCCCCGATCACCCCTTCTCCCATCAACACTCACCAATCTCCCGTTCTCCCATCTCCCCTTCCCCATCACCCTTCTTCCATCACCACTCCCCCAACACCACCCCCCATCACCCCTTCTCCCATCACCCCTTCCCCATTGCCCCTTCTCCTATCACCACTCCCCCATCACCCCATCACCACTCCTCCCATCACGACTCCCTCATCACCACTCCCCCATCACCCCTTCTCCCATCATGACTCCCTTATCACCACTGCCCCATCACCCCTTCTCCCATAACACCTTCCCCCATCACCACTCCATCGCCCCTTCTCCCATCACAACTCCATCACCCCTTCTCCCATCACCACTCCATCACAACTCCCTCATCACCACTTCCCCATCTCCCCTTCCCCCATCACCACTTCCCCCATCACGACTCCCTCATCACCACTCCCCCATCACCCCTTCTCCCATAACCCCTTCCCCCATCACCACTCCCCCATCACCCCTTCTCCCATCACCACTTCCCCATCACCCCTTCTCCCATCACCACTCCATCACCACTTCCCCATCTCCCCTTCCCCCATCACCACTCCTCCTATCACGACTCCCTCATCACCACTCCCCCATCACCCCTTCTCCCATCATGACTCCCTCATCACCCCTTCTCCCATAACCCCTTCCCCCATCACCCCTTCTCCCATCACCACTCCATCACGACTCCCTCATCACCACTTCCCCATCTCCCCTTCCCCCATCACCACTCCTCCCATCACGACTCCCTCATCACCACTCCCCCATTGCCCCTTCTCCCATCACGACTCCCTCATCACGACTTCCCCATCGCCCCTTTCCCCATCACCCCTTCCCCCATCACCACTCCATCGCCCCTTCTCCCATCACGACTCCCTCATCACCACTCCCCCATCACCCTTCCTCCATCACCCCTTCTCCCATTACCACACCCTCATCAACCCTTTTCCCATCACCACTCCCCCATCGCCCCTTCTCCCATCACGACTCCCTCATCACCACTCCTCCATCACCCCATCTCCTGTTACTACTCCACCATCACCACTCCTCCATCACCACTCCCCATCGCCCTTTCTCCCATCACGACTCTCCCATCACCCCATCTCCCGTCACCACTCCGCCATCACCCCTTCCCCCATCGCCACTGCCCCATCACTATTCCCCCAACTCACCTCTTCTTCCCATCAATGCTCCCCCAACTCACCACTCCCCCATCACTGCTCCCCCATCAAGGCTCCCTCCGTCAACCCTCCCCCCACTTACTGCTCCTTGCCATCACCCTTTCCCCATCACCCCTTCCCCATCACCTCTTCCTCCATGACTCCTCCCCCATCACCCCCACCAGCTCACCCCTGCCACCCAATTCCCGTCACCTCTTAACCCACCACCTCTCCCCTAGCACTCCTCCCTCGTCACCCATTCAGCTACCACCCCTCCCCCATCACACATTCTTCTACGACCCATTCCCAATCAACCCTTCCCTACCATCCCTTCTCCCATCACTGCTCCCCCATCACCCCTCCATCCCATCACCCCTACTCCATCATGCCCTCTGCTATCACTGCTCTTCCATCACCACTTCATCATCACCCCTTCTCCATCAGCATTCCTCCAACACCCTTTCTCCCATCACCACTCCAGCATTACCCCTTCTCCCATTGCCACTCCCCCCATCACCACTCCCCCCTCACCTCTTCTTCCATCACCACTCCCAGATCACCACTTCTGCATAACCCCTTCTCCTGTCAACACACCATCACACCTTCTCCCATCACCTATTCCCCCATCACCCCTCTCTGGTCACCACTTCCACATAACCCTTTCTCCTGTCACCATTCCCCCATAACCACTCCCCAATCTCCCATTCTCCCATCTCCCCTTCCCCCATCACTACTCACCTGTCACCACTCCATCAGCCCTCCCCCTAGCACTGCTTCCCCCATCACCACTCCCCCATCACCCCTTCTCCCATCGCCACTCTCCAATCTCCCATTCTCCCATCTCCTCTTCCCCCATCACCACTCTCCCATCACCCCTTCTCCCATCACCACGCCCCCATCGCCGCTTCTCCCATCATCACTCCCCTATAACCCCTTCTCCCGTTACCACTCCCCCTCACCCCTTATCCCATCACCTCTCTCTACCACTACCAATCACCCCTCCCCCACCACCCAATTCCTATCACCTCTTAACCCACCACCCCTCCCCTAGCACCCCTCCCCCAGTACCCCATCACCCAGCACCTATCCAACACCCCTCCCCCATCACACATTCCCCTACGACCCATTCCCAATCACCCCTTCTCCCATCACTGCTTCTCCGTAACCCCCATTTCCATCACCCCTACCCCATCACTGCTCCCCCATCACCACTTCTTCAATCACGGCACCCCAATCATCACTCCCACATCATGCCCCCTGCTATCACTGCTCTTCCATCACCACTTTGCCATCACCCCTTCTCCATCACCATTCCCCCAACACCCTTTCTCCCATCACCACTCCGGCATTACCCCTTCTCCCATTGCCACACCCCCATCACCATTCTCCCATCACCCCTTCTCCCATCACCACTCCCGGATCACCCCTTCTTCCATCACCACTACTGCATAACCCTTTCTCCCATCATTACTTGCCCATCACCACTCCCCTTTCAACTCTTCTTCCATCACCCCTTCTCCTATCGCCTCTCCTCCAACAGCCCTCTCCCATCACCACTCCCCCATCACCCCTTCTCCCATCACGACTCACCTGTCACCACTCCCCGATCACCCCTTCTCCCATCACAACTCCCCCATCATCACTCCCCCCACCCTTTCTCCTGTCACCACTCCCCCATGACCCCTTCTTCCATCACGACTCCCTCATCACCACTCCATCACCCCTTCTCCCATCATCACTCCCCAATAACCCCTTCTCCCGTTACCACTACCCCATCACCCCTTCTCCCATTGCCACTCCACCCCCATCTGTCACCACTCCCCCATCACCCCTTCCCCCATTGCCATTCCCCCAACTCACCGCTTCTTTGCATCAATGCTCCCCTAACCACTCCCCCATCACTGCTCCACCAATGAATTCTCCCCCATCAAGGCTCCCTCCATCAACGTTACCCACACTAACCACTTCCCCCACTCGCCACTCCCCCATCAACACCTCCCCCATCACAGCTCACCCCATTCACCACTCCTCCATAACTGCTCCCCACTCACCACTCCCCATCACAGCTTACCTACTCACAGTTCCCCCCACTTACCGCTCCATGCACTCACAGCTCCCCCTCCCCACAGCTCCCTGCAAGGCTGCAGTGAGCTATGATCACACCACTGCACTCCAGTGTGGGTGACTCTCTCTGAAAAAATATGAAAAAAGGCTGGGAATGGTAGCTCATGCCTGTCATCCCAGCACTTTAAGAGGCCAAGGCAGGTGGATCACCTAAGGTCAGGAGTTTGAGACAAGCCTAGCCAACATAGTGAAACCCCATCTCTACTAACGAACAAAAATTAGCAGGGCGTGGTGGTAGATACCTGTAATCCCAGCTACTTAGGAGGCTGAGGCAGGAGAATTAATCACTTGAGCCCAGGAGGCAGAGGTTGCAGTGAGCAGAGATCCCACCACTGCACTCCAGCCTGGGCAATCAGAGTAAAAATCTGTCTTAAAAAAAAAGGAGGAAAAGAAAAGAAAGAAAAGAAACATAAATTCTCAATCGCACCCCAGTCCTGCTGAATCAGAAACCTGGGGGCTGGGCCCTGGGACTCCGTTTTAACAAGCCCTCCTGAGAGGCTGCTGTGTGCTGAAGTTGGGGAAGCAATGGTTTGGTTTCCAACCCAGCTGAGAAGGCACAAAGTGTGGTTCCCAGGCTAGGGAGCTGGTCCTAACACCCAGCCGCTTCCTTAAGGAGTTAGCACAAATAAAGCAATTAAGCGCCTGCAATTCTTCAAAAGGAAGAATTTGTACTGAAGTGATTTCTTCATGTTTTTAGACATAGGGTCTCACTCTTTCACGTAGGCCGGAGTGCAGTGGCACAGTCACAGCTCACTGCAGCCTCAAACTCCTAGGCTCAAGCGATCCTCCCACCTCAGCCACCCAAGGAGCTGGGCCACAGGTGCACACCACCACACCTGGCTGATTTTTTTTTGTAGCAACAGGGTCTATGTTGCCAAGGTTGGCCTTGAACTCCTGGGCTCAAGTGATCTTCCTGCCTCAGCCTCCCAAAGTGCTGAGATTACAAACATGAGCCACTGCCCAGGACCTAAAATGACTCCTTACACACACTTATTTCTATTTCCTGGCCCTTCAGGTGATGTGGAGAAGCGTGTCATGTTATTCATCATCCAAATCTTTCATCCAGGAGAAGAACAGAGAGGTTAGAGGTGTGTGTTTAGGTGGATTACATTTTTTCTACAGTGCGGAGAGGGACCCAGCGGCCTCAGCCCCCAGATCAGCATCCCAGAGGGATTCTATTTTCCAGGTAACTGCCAGATCAAGGCCTGAGTCTTCGCCCATGAGCACTCACTGTCCGCATCTGCATACTCTCTGCAACCCTTATTCATTTTTTACCTACTTTGATTTTTAAAATAAGTCTGTCACTCAAAGTCTTCTAAACTAAAAAATTCCAAACGGAAACTAGACGTGCCCAGCCACCACGTTAAAGGCCTTCCAGCAGCAGAAGTGGGGATGGTTTTCCGACGAAGCAGGCCATGGTAAAGGGGGACTGAGAGTCTCACTGTGGGAAGTAGAAAAGTTCCTTTTAAAGTTTCCTTTCTTGTTAAAGAATAAGTGTGCTAGTAACTTTGTGAAGCCCTGTCCTATGCAGCTGTTAGACATGCCATGCTTACAGGCATTTATTACATTCTGTGTCCTTGGACTTCAACCAAGGTATCTGCTAGACGTGCTCACAGGCATGTCCCAGCTCTCCACTGCTTTTACCTGTTTAGAAAATTTTAAGTTATTAGCGAATCGGGTTTTAGATTGTGAGGTTTGGCTCCAGCCAATGGAGATCAGACACAGCAGTAATGACAACCCCGAATGTGTAAGGGATACATTTGCGTATTTTCCTTTGTTCACTGGGGGTACCCTTCCCACAGTCCAGGAAGTAAAAATTACATTGCTGAAAGATGCTTGTTTCAGTGCTGATTTTCCTTTGTGGCACCGGGCATCTATTTCCAACACTCACCATCCCACGGCCCTAATTTTGTGAATTCTATTTCCCCGTTTAACTGACCAGGAAACTAGTCAGAGAGAGTAAGATGGCGAGACTGAGGTCACGTAATAGGGTCCACATCCAAGCCATGAAGCATCCGAGGGTACAGGAATAGAGGACCCGAGGCCATGAACCGAGCAGTCTGGCCCCAGAACCACAACCTGAGCCGCACCCACTACTGCTGCTCCAGCCCACCACTCCACTCGGTAATAACTCTTTGGTGTCAAGTGTGGGCAATCCGTATTGTCTATTGGGGCTGTGAAACCAGCCACGGGCTGAACTAAGTGCCTTGTGCCTCCTCAAAGTGTGGTTCCTGTGCCAGCCGCATCAGCATCACCTGAGAGTCATTAGAACTATAAAATTCCACCAGGCACAGTGGCTCATGCCTATAATCCCAACACTTTAGGAGGCCAAATTGGGTAACTGCTTGAGGTTAGGAGTTTGAGACCACCCTGGGCAACATAGTGAAACCCAGTGTCTACAATACATACAAAAAATTAGCCAGGCATGGTGCTGTGCACCTGTAGTCCCGAGCTACTCAGGAGGCCGAGGTGGGTAGACTGTGTAAGTCGGGGAGTTCAAGGCTGCAGTGAGCTATGATCACATCACTGCACTCCAGCGTGGGTGACTGTCTCTAAAAAAAAAATGAAGAGGCTGGGCACAGCGGCTCATGATGCCTGTAAGTTTGGGAGGCCAAGGCAGGTGGATCACCTGAGGTCAGGAGTTCAAGACCAGCCTGGCCAACATGGTGAAACCCCATCTCTGCTAAAATACAAAAATTAGCCAGGTGCAGTGGTGGGCACCTCTAATACAGGCGACTTGGGAGGATGAGGCAAGAGAATGGCTTAAACCCAGGAGGTGGAGGTTGCAGTGAATCAAGATTGTATCACTGCACTCCAGCCTAGGCAACAAGAGCGAAACTCTGTCTCAGATAAAAAAAAAGAAAAGAAATACAAATTCTCAAATCCCACCCCAGTCCCGCTGAATCAGAAACTTGAGAGCTGGGCTCTGGGACTCTGTTTTAACAAGCCCTCCTGGAGACTCTGCTGTGCACTGAAGATGGGGAAACAATGGTTTGGTTTCTAACCCAGCTATACCTTCTGATCCTTGGGTAGCTTTGCAAACCCAGCAGGGCTTAGCTCCATGGATTGCAGGTGGGCATCTGTTGTTATTATTGTTAATTCCCACTGTAATTGTAATATGCAGCAAGCTTTGAGAAGCACAAGTGTCATACAAAGAATAGGGCTTTGAAGTTCAAGAGCTGGGTTCAAATTCTCGTTCTGACATGACTCAAATATGCCCTAAGCTTTCTAAGTCCTACTTGGTCCATCTGTTGAAAGGTGGAAGTGAGCCCTGAATGAGAAGCTGGCATCCTTTCTGGAGCACTGCAGGTGCCCAGTGAACATTAACTCTCATCTCCTACACTCCCAGCACAAGAAGCACAGCTCCCCAGCTGATGCCAGAACACGCATTGGGAGTATCAGGAGGAGGACCCAGACACTGGGGAGCATGTCTTGCGATGGGACCTGAGGGCCAGATTCCATATCGTCAGCCCTACAATCATGGGTTTCTCTCAAACACCTGAAGTGCAAACAGCCTCAAAATCCCTGGTGCAGGATGCTGTGGGAGTGGGAGGGAAACAGCAGCTACCCATGCCACCCCTCAGCTCAGCCTTCTGCCCCAGAGCCAGAAGCTTCTGGAGAGTTCTCTGGCCCCTCGCTGTCCCATCAGCCCCAGCCTCTCAGGTCCTTCCCAGATGTCCCCACCTGACCCAGCGTCCACATCCCCCATCTTCCCATTCCAGCCCCGTGTTCCTCCTGTGAGGAGGATGTTCCTCACCTGCCACCATCGGACCAACTTCCTTGTTGCCCAAAATCCAGGTACCTCTTCCCAGAGCTCACTCCACTCTGGCAGCCTCATTTGCCCCGCACTTTCCTTCTCTTCCTTCCAGCTGCCTCTACCCAGCCAGTGTCTCACTTGGTCCTTTCCAGACAAGTGCAGTTAGTCTGTGTGTGGATCTGTATTTCCATGTCCCCGTCCTTCCCCCATCTGTCTTTCCCCTCCCTGGTGGTCTCGGACACCACATCTAGGTGGTAAAAATACAGGGCTCACACCTCCACCCTTGTCCTTATTTCCCAGACCCTGAACCATCCTGCATTCCCTGAATAGTTGGCAGATGTGGAAATCCCATTGGCTCCTCTGCTCCATCCCTTTCCTTCTGGACAGCACTACAGACCTGCTGGGAAAGCTGGGGAGGCTCATGGGAGCTGAGCTGCAGCCCTGGGCCCTGAATCTGGAGACAAATTAAAAAAAAATCATTTTTTGAGACAGCATCGTTCCGGAGGCTGGAGTGCAGTGGTGTAATCATGGCACACTGCAGCCTCAAGCCATCCTCCTGCCTCAGCCTCCGGAGTAGCCCAACCACAGGGGTGCACCACCATGTCCAGATATTTTTATTTTTTTGTAGAGATGGAGGGCTTACTACATTACCCAGGCTAGTCTCAGACTCCTGGGTTCAAGCAATCCTCCCACCCTGGCCTCCTCAAGTGCTAGGATTGCAGGTGGAGCCTCCCTGTGGCCAGGATGCACTTTCCATGCTTCCCCTCTGATCTTGACAATGATCTTCCAGGGTGAACAGAAGGGTCCCCATTTCACAGAGCAGGCTCGGTGGCATCCCATCGTGATGCAGGGCAGGATGCCACTGTGAAGCCCATTTTCCCACCCCTGAGCCTCCTGACTCCTCCCCTCCAGCCCTCATGAGCTGGCGACTCCAGCTTTCCATGTTAGCAAAAGGAGTCACGACCGTCCCCCGGCCACTACCACAGGCCAATTTTGTTTCCCATCACCTCCTGTCCCTGTGTCCCCACCGGACCAGGAAGAGGACAGTCACAGCCTGGGTGCTTAACTTGGCACTGTGTGGGTAAATCAGGCAAATGACTGAGCTGATGAGAGCCTCAGTTTCTCCAAGGGTAAAATGGGGGTAACAACATCTTTATGTAGAGATGAGAGGTGACTTGGAGGGTTGGACACCCATTCCAGGGCCTGAGAAATCATCCAGTGACACCTCCTCTGCTCGCCCCTCTTCTTTCCCTCAAGCCTTTCTCTTCACTCCTGGACTTCACTCCTGTGTGGCACCCAACAATGGTGGCCATCCATTTACATGCTCTGTCCCAAGACGGGCTCCTTCCCATCCTGCCCTCGCTCCTGCTGCAGACCTGGCAGGCCTAGATGAGGAGCTCAGAAAAGGAGCAGACAGCACCTGCTCTGCATATCCTGAGCTGGAGTCTAGGCCACGCAGTCTCCGCGTGATGGTTTCGTGGCAGAGGCCATGCCCGCAGCAGCGCAGAAACGCCTCCATCTCTCCACCTCAATAGGCACTTTGTGAAGGTCCTCACATTCTGTATTCTTGCTCTTTGCTCACTGGGCTGTCTTCTATCCACTTCATTTCCCATGCGGCTCTGATAGGGAGAGAAGCTGACCAGCAAAATCCCAGGCCCCTTGGTCCACATCAGAGATCTGATCAATGGGAGGGCGATGTGAGGATGAGGTGGTTTCACTACAGCCTCGCCCATCTAACAGGGTGTCAGCCAGCTGTTATTTCTCAAAATAAACGCAAATCAGGTGACCCACTGTGAGTCTCTTGGCTCAAGCAGCGCCTGTCCTCAAGGGCAGTCTGTTCCCATTTTTGCTCTTGGAATCAGGATCAGAAATCTGAGCCCCGGAGAACACCCGTTTGACTCTGCAGCAGGGAGATGACAAAGACACGGAGGCTCAGGGACAGTGGGGACCATGCATCTTACCGACATGGAAGTGCTTAGAAGTTAGGGGGTCCAGCAATTTAGATGGGATAAATGACATTAACTTCACGACCTCCAACTGAAATGTAGAATTTCCTTTTACTATGAATGTCAACAATAAAATAGGAACTTTGTCATTAATTTAAAAATCACAGATATTTTCATCACACTAATTATCACAGGTTTTTCAAAACATTGTTTATGCTCATCACTACCTTATGGCAGCAATTAGACAGGAAGTCTTGTTATTTAATGCATTAAGAAGCACATATTAGGAAAATATTTTGATAATTGTGTCTTGGTATAATTAGTCTTCTTTGTAATCCCATGTAATCAATGCGTTTTATTCATTTGAACACCTGCTAAGAGGAGGCCTGCACTGGCAGCTCATGCCGAAGGAGCCCATGACATCAACAGGGTGAAGAGGCTCAGCAGGGTCTGCGACTGCCTCTCGCAGGACGAAGAAATCCTGTGACAATGCTGCCACCCCTGTCCATCTGCTGCCACCAGAATCCTTCCAGTGATGACAAAGTGTGATGGGCACTGGGCTGCTCAATGAGTAGTCATCCCTTCCCTGTCCTCCTTGCCAGCAGAACTCACTTCCATGACAGGGGAGGACCTGGGAGGTTAACTGCTCCCGACTTAACAAGGACCCAGCTCTGAGCAGTGGGACCCATGAAGACTAAGGGGTGGGGAGTCTAAGGGGTGAGGTGGTCATGGGCAAAGATGCATCTTCCCTCAGTCAAAAAATCAAAGATGCCCAGGAGGAAGCATGCTCCATGTTACTTGAGTGATAAATGTACATCTGTCCACTCTAAATCTCATGTTGAACTTCGACAGCCAATGTTGGAGGTGAGGTGTGGTGGAAGTGTTCAGATTGTCGGGGTTGGTCCCTCTTGAATGGCTTGGTGCCATGATTGCAGGAGAACTGTTGAAAAGAGTCTGGCTCCCACTGTCGCTCTAGCCATGCAATGCTGCTCCCCTCTGCCTTCCACCATGAGTGGAAGCGTCCTGAGGCCTCCCCAAAAGCAGACGCTGGAGCCATGCTCTGTGTACAATCTGCAGAACCGTGAACGAAATAACCTCTTTTCTTTAGAAATTACCATTTCCAGTATCCCTTCACAGCAACTCAATCAGACGGAGACCCTGAGTACCCACTGTACAGAACCATGGTGGGAGAGGGTGGAGAGGAAAGGCAGTCACACAGCAACATCAGGGCCCAGGATCAACGTGGAATCCCATCACCTTTGGATTTCTTGTTACATAAGGTAACATCTCTTTTACTGTGACCTCCATTTAGGTGGGCTTTTTCTGAAAGCTCTCCAACAGAGAATTCTCCTGACTTGAGAGCAAGGACAGTCTCAGGGAAACTCCACAGCGAGTGTGACTCAGTGGCTTTGGTGCCCCAGTTGTTCTTT